CGTCCATCCCGACGCAGAGACTCTAGAAGATCGGTCGTGCGTAGCACCTGCCGAACAGGCATGACACAGCGTAGCACCTGTCGGCTAGGCATGACTTTACATCTCCACCTAAGCTTTGTTCAAGATGAAGACGCTCCACCTCCTGCCTCTGTCTTCCAGCGCTGCTCCACAAATGATGCTCCCAAGAGAGAAACGACACAGATGTGACGCCATTGTCCGATATAGAAAACTAGATCCTAGGGTTTCTCCCGGAGCAGCACGAGTGGATCAATAGTATTTACACAATAATGTCTTCTTCAAGGTAACGACGCAGAATACCGCCATCGCCTTCCTTCCGCTCAGTTTTCACCGGCAACAATGTCTCCCTGACTCACAGCTGGGACTAGATGACGGATCTCAAGATCCGACCACCCAGCCTCATGCCGACCACCTCCGCCGGAGGAGATGTCCACCACTGCTGGTTGTATCGGCCAGAACAGATCTGACCGGAGGTGCCACTGAGCACTCTACCAGGCCCTCCACGCCATCGTCGATCCGTAGCCAGATGGCACGCCGTTGCAGCATAGCCAGCCGCCGTTGTCGACCACCTCCAGCGGAGGAGATGACCCCCACCGCCGGCTGCGCTGACTAGAACAGATCTAATTGGAGGTGCCGTCGAGCACTCCACTAGGCCCTCCATGCCGTCGTCGATCAGAAGCCAGATGGCGCGCCGCTGTCGACCGACTCACGCCATCGCCCAAACCAGTACAGCCGCCGCATGCCACCGCCTGTGACCAGGCTGCCCGACGTGCCTGCAGCCGCCGTCACCCGAGGCAGGGCCGGCCACCATCGTCGCTGCCTCACCTATCACCACACTCTGCAGGATCGGACGCACCTCCACATTTTAGGGGCCCCGCACCACCCCTGAGACACGAAAGGGGAGTCCCCTGCCATCGCCGTCGGCCCCCGGGTGTAGCCCAGCAGCGACGGAGGGAGGGGAGGTGGGAGTGCTCACCATTGTTCCTCTACTTCGTCTACGTCTGTGTCACCTTCGTCATCACCATGTCCACCACCATCGAAGCTGACTGATTCGCTGACGAGAAGCCCGCTGCTGCCAAGAAGGTCGCCGAGGAGACCCCTGCCGCCGCGGCTTCTGGCAGGCACATTGGAGTAACTCGTTTATCCCGATCCTGTTTATTTTCGTGTGGGTGCAGACTAGCTATTTGCGTGAATATTTCTACTATCTTCCTAGTACATGATTATCTGGTTAGAAATCAGTACTATGCTCATGATTTATATGTGGATTAATTTAATAAAAAATCCGCTCATATGCTCAACATGTACAGGACGTGAGTCAGGATCAAGATATTGTGGCTCCTTGTGGGTCAGGGTCATCAAGATACATCGATCACAATGACGATGTACAAGTGAGTCAGGATCAAGATATAGTGATGTATACTTCCCATAAAAATTATGCGTCAAATATATTGGCAAAATGACACTAGTTAATGTTACACGCATGCATGTTGATGCATTGCACATCATATGCATGGGTGGTTGACCAATCGAATAAGGATGTTGCATGCTCAAACAAGTACTGCAGAGATAATACGGTCGTGCATTTTAATTTAAAAGAACATCATCAAGGAGGCTATGGTGCTAAAGCTGCAACTTTAGCCGGCAACGACCACCAGATTAGTGGACAAGCAAGTGGGACAAGTTTTCAACCTAGACAAGCATGTCTCTCCCTCGCAAAAAAGAAAGAAAAAGCATGTCTCTGCAGGAGATTGGATAGGGCCCACCAGAGGAGACGTACGACCAATCAAATTGATAAATACTAGCAAAAAGACCCGTGCGTTGCAACGGAAGAGACGATTGTATCTGCAAAATGCATTTGCAGTCAAGCTGAATTTAATCTTTATTGAGATATGTGGGAACAAAGATTGCATATCTTTAATATGAACTAAAATTCTAAGTGAGTGACAAAAATAGGTTGAAAAATCAAGAGTTACACTAATAGAACTTTAAGAAAATAAACTCAAATCTGCAGTAGAGAAGTGCACTCGGGCAATAACTTTTTCTCTTGAGGATTGCAATAAACATAGAACTTTTTTATATTTGATAGTACAAACGGAAAACTTCATATTTTGTGGTTGCAAGGTTGCCTGATTTTTTTTCCTGGATAAATCATGGTTCGCGAGTTCAGCTACGGAAATAAAGAAATTCTTTTCTGACTTGAGATGACTTTTAGTTGAAGTGCGGCACATAGAAAACATGTCCTGGCACCATGGGTGTAGTAACTGGTAAAGAAAACTTTGTACATGAGCTCCCACATTAAAAGGCCAAGGATACATAATGACTGGAAAACATGTCCTGGCACCATGGGTGTAGTAACTGGTAAAGAAAACTTTGTACATGAGCTCCCACATTAAAAGGCCAAGGATACATAATGACTGGCAAAAAGGGAACACGTTTACCTCATATAGAGGTCTTGTACTCCTTGTGGTTTCTCTTAATTTCTAAAACTAAATTAAACAAAAAAGGAAATAAAAATTGAGCTCCCACATTAAAAGGCCAAGGATACATAATGACTGGAAAACATGTCCTGGCACCATGGGTGTAGTAACTGGTAAAGAAAACTTTGTACATGAGCTCCCACATTAAAAGGCCAAGGATACATAATGACTGGCAAAAAGGGAACGCGTTTACCTCATATAGAGGTCTTGTACTCCTTGTGGTTTCTCTTAATTTCTAAAACTAAATTAAACAAAAAAGGGTGACGAGTGGATTCGAAACCGCACCTCCTGGGTAGATGTGTGGACCTCTAGCCACCACGCTACTACATCTTTGTTGATGTTAAGGGAGGTTCGCTGGCTGATAAACCAAATTTAGCGCAGCGACCTGGGATGGAAAAAATGAAACGTTTTTTCTGACTTATAGGTGACATACTCGGTAATTTATAGCAACTTTGGGGGTAAATTATATGACGTACGGGCAGAAGCAATAGCCCTTTTATTTTTATTTTTATTTATTATTATTATTATTAGGGTAGACTAGGACTAGGAAAAAAATGTCAAGATATAGAAGGCAAGTTTTGCAAACCAAGGAGAAAGTTGTGTTCGGTCAATTTATTAGGCATGTTTGAGTCAGCTAGCTATACTAGTATCAAACACAATATGGCCGAATGCAAGGGCACCCTCTCACTATGTTCACATTGGCAGAGGCGCATTATGCGGTGCAGCGAATGGCGAGAGAGGTACATTGTGTGTGCAGTGAACATGTTTCTTTTTGTGTGTGTGTGTGTGTGTGTGTGTGTGTGTGTCTGCGTGTGTGTGTGTGTGAGAGAGAGAGAGAGATAGAGAGAGAGAGAGAATTCACATGTTTTGTCCTTCCTGATTGGCCAGCCCCTCAGTGTTCTACCCACGCATGTAACCTCGTCTCTTTCCGCACGCCAACATAGCCGATCTCAGCGTCGGCAGATCTGGTGAGCGTTGGGAGGAGAAGAACAAGCCTGCGAGGCGACGATCGTGGGGGAATCAACCAGATCCGCCACGTGCCCGTCTGCAGGAAGGGAACACGATGACGGGGGCTGGTTCGCTGCGCATCTCCGCCACCGAGCCTTGCATCGCCGGCCACCATCCCCTCCTCTCACACGCCGCCACTATCAAGGTATATCGGTGCGCCCCTCCTCACCGTCAAGCCGCAAGTCAGGTTCTTCCGTAGAAACCCCCTCCCCACGCTCGCTCTTTCCAGCCCACGCCGCCTCTCTGACTCCTTCCTCCTTCCTCGCCACCGCTCCCTCTCTTCACCTGCAGCTCTGGCTTCTCACCATAGCCGCTGCCCCCTCCCCCCTCCTGTGTCAATCTTGGCCGTACCCATCGCCGGGAAGAGCGAGGGGTCACTCCTGCAACTGCTCAACCCTGAGAAGCTCGCCGTCGTAATCACCAAACCGTCTTCCTCGCATCGTCCAGGCTATTCTTGTATAGCCAGAAATTGCTCTGACCCAACGATGCCGTCCCCCTTGCTATTTTTTGAAATCTTATTGGCTGATGGTGTTCATATTAAGAGAGGAGACACACCATATGTGCTCAATCAATCAAAATAAATATTCATCCTTTCCATAAATTAGTTTCAGATGCGTAGGTGGTGTTTAGGCCAAGGTTTTCATGTGATCCATTCACTCTGCTTTAACTTGACGAACTCATTGTTGTATCAGGCGACGCATGGTAATCCTTCACTTAAGATCCGTGCTTTGGAAGGCAAAAATATTGAAATGTCTGAAGAGTCAGGTCAGATAAACCTACCCAAGCCTACTTATTTTTCATATATTGGTAACTGATCTTCCCAAGTTCTTACTCTATGTGTTTCAAAATTTTCTTTGAAGGTGGCACAAGTAAGTACAATGATGATGGCCAGATAGATGATTCGCTGAAAACAATTCAGAAAATACGGGATGAAATTGTATGTTATATGTCTTTTCTCTTATTTCAGCAAAAAATTATGCTTGCTTTCTATAATTTCTTCTAGTTGAGAATTTGATGTGAACTCTCCTATTCTCTCTTCATTTCAGCTTCGCAAGGAAAGCATACTTCAAGAACGAAGTGCTCGGTGTGATATGGACATCCAGACACTCTTGAGTGGTATTCTACCCATGTCACATTTTAAGCATGGTTACATTTACAATCACATTGTAGAACTGTTACAATTTTGCGGTCAACACTGTCGGCAAGTTTTCCTCTGAGCCATATGTTTTCAAAAGTTCTGCGCTAAACTGTGTTGTATCACACTTTTCATTGTGGACAAATCGTCCACCGCACTTTGTGATGTACAAATTGTCCGTCAGAACTGTGGCCAATTTTGGCAAGATGTATTTTTTGGATTTTTTAATGTTTTGGCAAGAAGTTGCTTCTATATTAGTTCCACATTTCTTGTACTCATCATGTTTTAAAACTTATGAAGAAGGACAGATGACACCTAAAGCTGTATCAATAATAAGCAAATACAAGGAAACTTGCTCACATATGACAGAAGTTACCAATTCATCTTGCTTTGGAGATGGTGACCAATCGATCACTAATAGGAAGAAATTGAGGGAGGCACTCCTCCGACAATGCAAGGTAAGAAACCTCAAGCTTAATCTATGTATTACAATTTTAAATGCCACTGGTACCCTGACACTTGTCTATGCAGGAGCTTGATCTGATCTGTCATGGGGCCCATTGGATACTCCCAAGATACACAGTATTACCTTCAGTTTCAGATGGTATGTACAAATGTTTACTTTTATCTCCTAGATATTCTAGATAGGCAAGTATTAGGTCCTTGGACCATGTAGGCATAACAATTAGGAATATCATATGAATGTATCCTATGCCATGTACTTCCTGATTCTCATTTATCGAATTCAATCCCTATAGGTCCTGGTTCGTTTTTTGAATTGAGATGATAACATACATAGTGTGCTACGCTAACCATGCTTAGACGAAAAGAGTTTTCAAGGTGTCAGATCAATAGGCATGATTTGCTCTCTTGATGTCAAAGTAGCAATACAAATAAGCCGCTTGCTTATTTTTCACATGTTATGCTCTGTTCAAGTGTTAGGTTTTTTAACATTCGATCAGTGGTTATCTTAGACCAGACTGATTAGGTCCCCACTTAGCAATAACCAGAATTGATGTTTGATTGACTATCATCTTTGTATGTGTGTGTGTGTGTTTTGACTTTTGAGCACTTCTTCAACGGTCCTTTTCCTATCTTTTCAAGAATGTACCACGCCAGTGTACGTTTGAGATGCCCAGATTTTGAGATGAGCCTCACTGGTGGTCTTCGTCCTACCCCATACGAGGCGAAGTGCTCGGCAGCTGCCAATATGATACTGGAGCTTCACAAGAAGGCGGAAGAGCAAGAAGAGTAGGGTACCTGATGCAAAATCACCTTGTTAAACTCCTGAAGCCGGGAATCCGCAGGTGGCTGGAACCAGTTGTTTAGTCATTACAACTTTGAATAAGACTTCTTGAGAAACCTAATTGTGCTGGTACCTTGTTGATAGCTCTTTTACCTTCCGGAGGTTGACTCCTTGTGTTGTTGTTGGTATTATGTCTATTTATTAAGGTCGTGATAAACCCTAGACTGTTATTTCAAAACTCTATGATGTTTCAGTTGCGCTTACTATTTTATAATGGGACCCGCACTGATGTGTACCGCAGGGCCATCGAGGCTTGCGTGTGCTTGACGTCAGCGGCGGCTTTATGGCAAGCGGTGGTGTTGGAACCCTAGCTCCTCCCCTAGCTCTACCTCTCTCTCTCTCTCCTCTATAACATTGCTCTAGTGCGAACCAGAAGAAGGAGGACGAAGAAGCAAACACAGAGCACATAGTGGACACAACAAGGTTTCCCGGGGCACGAACGCCACCGTCGCCCGAACGACATTTTTCTCTTTTACTTGAGCACGAACTCAGCCCACACTTGTTAAAACGCATATGGGAGGGTTCTTTATACCCTGGTCCACATTAGGGCACGTACCCCACATCCCAGTCCACGCCGAGCGCTTGGTCCAGCCCGCTCTAGCCGCGCTCGCGACATGCACGCACACGTCTGGGTCATGGCGAGCCTGCCTTGGACCAACTTCTCGCACCCCCTAATCTCACCAACAGAATGCACCTACAGTCACGCGCACGGTGTACTCCTACACGGTCACCCCCGTGCACCACACACACGTGCACACGCACACGTACACCGCAGACCTGACGCATCCGACACGCCCAACACGCGCCCACACACGCGCCCGACGCGTCCGAGCCATGGCCACGGCTTATTTGCCCAATGATACGTCTCCAATGTATCTATAATTTTTGAATGTTCCATGCTATTATATTACCTGTTTTGGATGTTTATGGGCTTTACTTTACACTTTTATATCATTTTTGGGACTAACCTACTAACCGGGGGCCCAGCCCGAATTGCTATTTTTTTTGCCTATTTCAGTGTTTCGAAGAAAAGGAATATCAAACGGAGTCCAAAAGGAATGAAACCTTTGGGAGTGATATTTTTAGAACAAATGCAATCCAGGAGACTTGGAGTGGACATCAACAAGCAGCCTAGGCATCCACGAGGCAGGAGGGCGTGCCCTAGGAGGGTGGGCGCACCCCCACCCTTGTGGGCCCCTCGTGGCTCCCCTGACCTACCTCCTTCGCCTATTTATATCCACGTACCCTGAAAACATCTAGGAGTACCACGAAAACTATTTCCACCGCCGCAACCTTCTGTATCCGCGAGATCCCATCTTGGAGCCTTTGCTGGCGCTCCACCGGAAGGGGAATCGACCATGGAGGGCCTCTACATAATCTCCAAGGCCTCTTCCATGAGTTGTGAGTAGTTTACCACAGACCTTCGGGTCCATAGTTATTAGCTAGATGGCTTCTTCTCTCTCTTTGTATCTCAATACAAAGTTCTCCTCGATCTTCTTGGAGATCTATTTGATGTAACTCTTTTTGCGGTGCGTTTGTCGAGATCTGATGAATTGTGGGTTTATGATCAAGTTTATCTATGAGAAATAATTGAATCTTCTCAGAATTATTTTATGTGTGATTGGTTATCTTTGCAAGTCTCTTCGAATTATAAGTTTGGTTTGGCCTACTAGATTGATCTTTCTTGCAATGGGAGAAGTGCTTAGCTCTGGGTTCAATCTTGCGGTGTCCTTTCCCAGTGACAGCAGGGGCAACAACGCACGTATTGTATTGTTGCCATCGAGGATAAAAAGATGGGGTTTATATCATATTCAATGAGTTTATCCCTCTACATCATGTCATCTTGCTTAATGCATTACTATGTTCTTATGAACTTAATACTCTAGATGCAGGCAGGAGTCGGTCAATGTGTGGAGTAATAGTAGTAGATGCAGAATCATTTCGATCTACTTGTTGCGGACGTGATGCCTATATACATGATCATGCCTAGATAATCTCATAACTATGCACTTTTCTATCTATTGCTCGACAGTAATTTGTTCACCCAGCGTAATACTTATGCTATCTTGAGAGAAGCCACTAGTGAAACCTATGGCCCCCGGGTCTATCTTTTATCATATAAGTTTTCCATCTACTTTTATCTGCATCTTTTACTTTCCAATCTTTATCATAAAAATACCAAAAATATTTATCTTATCTTATTATCTCTATCATATCTCACTTTCGCAAGTTTCCGTGAAGGGATTGACAACCCCTTTATCGTGTTGGTTGCGAGGTTCTTGTTTGTTTATGTAGGTGCGTGGGACTTTTGAGGAGCCTCCTACTGGATTGATACCTTGGTTCTCAAAAACTGAGGGAAATACTTACGCTACTTTGCTGCGTCACCCTTTCCTCTTCGAGGGAAAACCAACGCAGTGCTTAAGAGGTAGCAAGAAGGATTTTTGGCGCCGTTGCTGGGGAGGTCTTCGCTCAAGTCAAGACATACCAAGTACCCATCACAAACTCATCTCCCTCGCATTACATTATTTGCCATTTGCCTCTCGTTTTGCTCCCCCCCACTTCACCCTTGCCGTTATGTTTGCCCTCTCTTTCCCAATCTCCTCTCTCTTTCGCTTGCCTTCTTGTGTGCTTGTGTGCTGGATTGTTTGGCACGATGTCTCAAGATAATACCAAATTGTGTGACTTTTCCAATACCAATAATTATGATTTCCTTAGCACTCCGATTGCTCCTCTTAATGATGCTGAATCTTGTGAAATCAATGCTTCTTTGTTCAATCTTGTTATGAAAGATCAATTCTCCGGCCTTCCTAGTGAAGATGTCTTTACTCATCTAAACAACTTCGTTGATTTGTGTGATATGCAAAATAAGAAAGATACAGATAATGATATTGTTAAATTGAAGTTATTTCTGTTTTTGCTTAGAGATCATGCTAAAACTTGGTTTTCATCTTTTCCTTAGAATAGTATTGATTCATGGAATAAGTGCAAAGATGCTTTTATCTGTAAGTATTTTCCTCCCGCTAAGATCATCTCTCTTAGAAACGACATTATGAATTTTAAACAACTTGATCATGAGCATGTTGCCCAATCTTGGGAAAGAATGAAATTAATGATTCACAATTGCCCTACTCATGGTTTAAACTTATGGATGATCATAATTTTTTTATGCCAGATTGAATTTTGCTTCTAGAAATCTTTTAGATTCTTCCGCGGGAGGCACGTTTATGGAAATCACGTTAGAAGCTACTAAACTCCTTGATAACTCGCAACCAACGCGATAAAGGGGTTGTTAATCCCTTCACGACCACTTGAAAGTGAGATCTGATAGAGATAGTACGATAAGATAAATATGTTTTTAGTATTTTATAATATAGATGCAAAAAGTAAAGATGCAAATAGAAGTAGATTGAAAGCTTATATGATAAAAGATAGACCCGGGGGCCATAGGTTTCACTAGTGGCTTCTCTCAAGATAGCATAAGTATAACGGTGGGTGAACAAATTATTGTCGAGCAATTGTTAGAAAAGCGAATAATTATGAGATTATCTAGGCATGATCATGTATATAGGAATCACGTCCGTGACAAGTAGACCGACTCCTGCCTGCGTCTACTACTATTACTCCACACATCAACCGCTATCCAGCATGCATCTAGAGTATTAAGTTCATAAGAACAGAGTAACGCTTTAAGAAAGATAACATGATGTAGAGGGATAAACTCAAGCAATATGATATAAACCCCATCTTTTTATCCTCGATGGCAACAATACAATACGTGCCTTGCAAGCTTTCTGCCACTGGGTAAGGACACCACAAGATTGAACCCAAAGCTAAGCACTTCACCCATGGCAAGAAAGATCAATCTAGTAGGCCAAACCAAATTGATAATTCGAAGAGACTTGCAAAGATAACTCAATCATACATTAAAGAATTCAGAGAAGATTCAAATATTTCTCATAGATAAACTTGATCATAAGCCCACAATTCATCGGATCTCGACAAATACACTGCAAAAAGAGTTTACATCGAATAGATCTCCACAAGAGAGGGGGAGAACATGGTGTTGAGATCCAAAAAGAGAGAAGAAGCCATCTAGCTAATAATATGGACCCGAAGGTCTGTGGTAAACTACTCACAACTCATCGGAGGGGCTATGGTGTTGATGTGGAAGCCCTCTGTGGTCGATTCCCCCTCCGGCGGAGCACCGACGAAGGCTCCAAGATGGGATCTCGCGGATACATAAGGTTACGGCGGTGGAAATTCTTTTTCGTTGGCTCCCTGGATGTTTTTGGGGTACG